AGAAAAAAAATAAAAATTCTAGCAAGCTGGTGGGTTAGGGTTGGTAAAATGCCAACCCGCCAGAAAACGAGCCTTTTGAGCCAGCACTGCGTAACCCGCAACCCGCGGGTTAGTCCGTTTTACCAGCCCTACATCATACTATCCATGAACAACATGAGATAATTGTCAATGTGGTACAAGAATCCACAAGCTGTAAAACCCAAAGTTCAATTTGCTGTTTTTGCCATGAGATCTGAGAAGGCAATTCAATGATTAATAACTGCACAACCTAGTTGATGCCATTTTTTAATTCCTAACACAAGTTCACACTCAACAATAGGAGAAAAATTTGACAGCAAAATCTCATGCCTAGGATCATAAAACACCCCCCCTGGGGGGACAGCATAAGCATGAAAATAAAGTAATTGGAATATAAACGATTAACTGTTAGTCTCATGAGAATCGATAAGCATAAGAATGATATGAAGGGAAATATAGAAATGCTCACAAAGAGAAAAGAGGAGGGATGATTGAGAGAAGAAACTGACATAAGCTAGAAGATGATTCCGCATGTGTGTGTATGCATCAACAGGGTGAATGCTAATCTCTTGATCTTTTTTATATGTTACAAATAACCAAATTACATAAATAAAAAATGGCATTAAATAAGTGAAAAAAGTAATATATCTTGTTTTTAAAAACACCTACATGAGTAGAATATTACCCACTGGACTAAACTTCCACATGCACAGAATGATTTGATTGCGTTTGAACACGCAAAAGCTCTCTCTCTCTCTCTCTCAACTTAATGGCTAAAATTGAGATAGGAAGAAAACTTTTATATGAGAAAACCACCTCTGATCCTCTGTCTTTTTCTTTGAAAAGGAGACAATCCCAGGATCCTAGATTTCCTGCAACAAAATCTCAAAAATCTGATAACTTGTCGTGACTATTTTTGAATTGATGTCCCCAACCAAAAATATCTGAGAAAATTTTTTACCTGATAAAACAAAACCACATATTTATTCCCAAATGCCAAGTAAAACCAAAACAGGATAAGTCTTGGGGAATTTATGAGTCTGATTGTATTTGTCATTTATACTCAATCATTAATGCATGACAAAAGAAGCATGTGCAATCACTATAGTATGATGTTATTTTTGCTAATACATGAAACTAAGACAGATTCAAAGAGAAATTTAATGTTACTTAACTTGTAAGCTAACATTGAATCGCTCTTTAAAGCTCAGATGCTGACAAATTCCTAAATTGGTATTTGTGTCTTGCAAGAATTAGACTCAGCATCTTCAATGGGGAAATAAATGAATTCACACTATTAATGCAATGCTAATTAAATTAATGATGACACGGCATTTTTTTTATTTGGATAGATACATTTAAGTTTAAATTCAACACATCATTCACCACAAATAATTTTTTTAAAAAAAATAGTGAGTTTTAAACTCAACCTTGTGAGTTGAGTTGACTTCTTATCAATTATATCAATTTTCGTTCATTGACAATAGAACTATAAGGCTTGGCAATGACTCATTTTTCTTTCAATGTTGGGCCGTTTATGTGTTTGGGCCGGATTTTAGCCGTTATTGGGTGGAAACCCAAATAGATTTATAAAATTATCCGGGACCAAAAACGGCAGCGTTTTGCTTGCCTCATTGCCTGCCTAATCTTCCCCGGGACGAGAAGTCGACCCCGTTTTGCTCCGACTCTGCCATAGTTGTTCCCTGGTGCTTGCCTCCGTCGTTGTCTTCGTCTGCTTGTAGTCGTCGTCCTCCGTTTGTGTGCGCCGTCGCCTGCGTGCCTGTGTAATTCTTTCTCTTATTCTCACTCTCGAATTCCCTCACCCTTGAATCGGAATCACCACTCACAGAAACACCACCAGAGACCTCGAGGGTAATCAAACCCGTAAGTGAAGTACGTAGGCCTTTATTTCTTGATTAAATTCATTCTATGATAGTACTGATATATTCATTTTTCCCTTCGTGAAATCCTCTATTGGATTTGATGGTTCTGTTATTCCGATTTAAACTTTATGGATTTGTTATCGTATTGTGAATGTGTTATTGTAACGATGAATATTGAGTGATTGCATGATTATGATCTTTAATTTCATCCGCAATGCAAAGACAGAGTTGGATTTTAAACTTCAGCCAGAGATGTCAAGTACTTGGATTAGAGTGCGTAAATTACGACAAACGTTCCCCCCCCCCCCCCACCAAATCACAGATGAGTCGAACAACCTAGCTCTGCTTGGCTAGTTGTTGTGTATTGAGGGCCACAGAAAGAGATGCAAAGTGCAAATTTGTAAATTTATTAATGAAAGGAAATCTATAGGATTCTATATTAGCCACTGTGGGCAACATATTAAATATGTTCCTCTCTTTGAATACCAGAGGAGTGTTGGGAAATGTTAAACGAAAGAAAACATTTTCCATTTCTGCACTGAATGAGAATAAACTGATAATCAATTCAATTTCAAGAAAGTTGTTTTCTGGCAAAAACTACGCTCTGCCTAAAAGTGACAGCCTAGGTGAAAGTATCCAGGTGCTGATATACTTGTAGACAGATAACGTTTTTATTACTACTTGGCAAGATACAAAAGCTGTTATTTGTATAAGATATACTGTTTAATGGTAAAAGATTTTGTGCTTGTGTGTTGTATGTTCTGAATAAGAAGAAGGGGATATAAAACTGATAGTTTATTTTGTTTTTTTTTTTTTTTCAGACTTTCTTCTTTTTTGGGGGTTGATACTAAGGAGAGTCACAATGATAGAAGGCAGTCGAATCCCACTAAAGGGGTGGCAGCAGGCAGCTGTTGCTCTTGGTTCAGCAGTTGGTGCATTGCTAGACCCACGAAGAGCAGATTTAATCGCAGCTCTTGGAGAGACAACCGGAAAGCCTGCTTTTGAGAGAGTTCTTGAGAGGATGAAGCGGAGTCCAGAAGGCAGGGTAAGACGATGGTTGCATTTTTTCATTCGATTTGGAGGATACTCTTGTTCTTTCTCTATAAATTTTTTTATCATTGAATGAAGAACTTCCTCCATTTTATTGCAAATTCTAACTGCTATTGTACTTAGGATTTTCCTGCAGTTTTGACATGGCATTATTGCACGTGTCAAGTGATAATTTCTTGAATATCCTTCTTATTCAACTCTTCGTGGACTTCTCTTTGATAGAAATATTTTCTTTATGGACACGATAATGGAATCAACTCACTCGTTTATTAGAAAAAGGGACAAGTTGGCCTCTTACTTGTGACAATGCTCATCTTTTAGCTGGGGCAACCTTAAAAGGGGGTGAATTGACCAGATATTATTTTATACTGAGTAACTTACAGAAGGACGCGTATAAAGTTGCAAAATAGGCCCCGGAAGATAAAAATAACCAACACAACAATGATTCTTCTCATGCTGAAGCCAAAGCTTTAATTGGCATTCATTGCCTTTTTGACAATGAGGAAAAGATACTCTTCTGATCCTATTTATAGGGCAAAGAGAGAAGAAATTTTTTTGTCCTATTTATAAGTCATTTTGTTAAATTTTTAGCATGAATGTATTTTGTCTTCCATTTATTATAATGTAGATGGTTTTTTTTTTTTTGGGAAAAAGTGTATATATTACATTAGGGTAAATTAGAAAGTTGTTATATTTTAATGGAAAGTTAATGCCATTTAAGGTTTTTTTTTTTAAATCTGTGTGGAACATGTTGGAAGTTTCTTATAGATAGAATAGGAGTAATGTTTTTTGTCTAGATGTACTGTCAGATCTCGCCAAGACCAATCCATTTTCTCTTGTACTTGGCAGGCAATATTGTTAGAGCGTCCTCGTGTGATATCAGCTGAAGTTGGACATGCTTGGGACCTACCAGAGAACACATTTGGTGCTGCCTATGCTAGATTCATGGGGTCCAGGAATTTTTCTCCAGATGATAGACCTCCAGTGCGGTTCATGGAGACAGATGAACTAGCCTACGTAGCCATGCGAGCTCGTGAAATTCATGATTTCTGGCACACCCTTTTCGGCCTACCGACTAACTTGATCGGAGAGTCTGCACTAAAGGTGATTGAGTTTGAGCAGATGTACCTTCCTATGTGCCTGCTGTCTGTTGTGGGGGGCACGGCAAGATTCAGCGAAAAGCAGAGAAAACTGTTTTATCAGCACTACTTCCCATGGGCCGTTCGGGCTGGCATGCAATGCACTGATCTTACGTGTGTATATTATGAGCGGCACTTTCATGAAGATCTAGAAGATGTCCGTAGGAAATGGGGCATTGTTCCTGCCCCTTCTGTCCCTAAACCACAAATTTTTTGACCTAATCATTCGTGGGCAATCATCTTATTTGCAATGTATTGGAGACGATACACTGGAGAATTTTTCTTTGAAAATGGGGATCCAGATCTTCTGTTTGACATTATATGGTCCTGTATAGAGAAAAATGATAACGAGTTTGTTTGACATGATGTGCCTTAATCTCAAATTCTCAATCATTAGAATGGACCTAGGGGCCGAACGTAAGCGCATGGGTCGATATATATTTACTACTTCGAAAATCGGAAAGCTTTATATGATTGCCGCCATAATGGCAAGCTTCGTGGTCACGGTTAGACACTTGCTTTGGTTGGTTTTGGTTTTTCTTTTCTTTTTTACCCCCCCGGCATTTTACTAATTGAGTTCAAAAGCCACACAGAATCAATACTTGTACCAAAAAAAAAAAAAAAAGAAGTGGTCATTGTAAGTAAAGGAAAAGAATAAAGCAGTTGATTGTCTGCTGTTCTTATCCGAAGATACCTGAGATGAAAATTTACAGCCAGGAAAAAAATACCGAGGAAGACAATATATTTGCAGATTTCTCTAAACTAAAGTAATCATCAATCTAGGAGAAAAATAGTTCGAATTTCCAAAAGGATGTAGTAAATATTTCAATGCTGATATTTTCAAAATATCAACATTGGCACCAATGCACACGGGGGTAGGAGAAAATTGGGAAGTGAATAAAAAGAAATCTGAAAAACAGCCAGAAAGAGCAAAATTAAAAATAATAAAAATCTCGAGAACACTTGAAGTACACAAGTAAAGCAACATATGCAATTGAAAATTAAAACATCCATTGACAAGCAAAAACTATGCATACATGTTTTCTGCTTTTAGAACATAGCAACTGAATCATCCAAGCAACCACAATCTATATTACACCATATCTTCCCAATGTTTTCAGGGTTTGTACTTTCAGAAATCTTATTTTTCTTCACTAGGTCCACCAAAGAGATAGCCCAGAGATGAGCCACCACCAGGGGCAGAATGGACCTTAGTTGAGGGTCGGTCCTGCAGCATAAATAACAATAATAATCAGCAATATATTTTTGTGGGGTGCTTCTTACAAGACATGCAGATAGCCAGAAACAGCATATTCATTAAATTAGATGTCTCACTCTAAACAAAGTATTACATCAAATGTAATGGTTTATTCCTTCTGATTGGAGAAAAACAAAATCATTTCATTTGCAGGTGCAAGAGGTCTCTCTCAAGTATTTAGAATTATATAAATGATAGTAGGGGAAACCATTGAACATGTGATCATCACTTGAATTGAACTGAAGCTGAGATTGCAGTATTAACTGATTCAAACCAAATGTCACCAATAGGCACAGAAAGCTTTTTCGATGACTCCACTATGGCAATTAAGTAAATTAACCATAGAACACAATGAAGAGAAGCCATCACACATATAAAAGTTCGAATTATGCTACCCACAGATAACGAAGTATTTTGATGTCATGCTCATCACTTTTTAAAACCCCTTTGACAGCAAATTATCATGAAAAATAAAATTAAGAAAAGAAGCAAATAGATGTAACAAGCAAACACAATACCGTAATGAAGTCGCCAGTGTTCTGGCCATCTACTTTGTTGCTGTGGATACCAGCAGGAGCCTGCTTATTCACATCTACTGGAGGGGAAGCTTTCTTTGAAGGAGGCTCGTTATTTACAACCTGTCCTTCAGCTGGGGCTGGGGCATTATTTTCCGCTGGTTTTGGAGCCTCTCCACTACCGAAAAGATAGCCCAGCGAACTCTGTCCACCACCACTACTAACTCCACGACCCATGCTCTTCGACTGTAAATTACAAGGTAAATTGAATATCCGTCTTCATGTAAATTGACAAAAGTAAAATTAACTGTTATAGAAGAACAAGAGAAAGGAAACAAATGAGCTAAGATAAATCATAATATGATTTCATGGAGGCAACAATCATTGCCAAGATTGGAAGGAGGATATCTTAACAGTCCCACAGGTAAACTTAATCCATGTCTGGCCTAAAATACGGAGAAGAGAAAATTTATAAGGTTTGATTGTGTTTGGGCCCTAATATTTGGGGGTTCAAGCAGGAGAGAGCGTAAACGACTCTATCTATTTCATATTCCCTTTTCGAATATTAGAGAAATACAATTTTTTTAGTAACTGCATTATAAGGTTAAGGCATAAGCACATAACTTTCAAATAGGATAGACAGTCCTCTTATCATTTTGAAAGGTATTCTTCACTATTTCCACAGAACAATCAGAGAAGTCTCCACCCTCCTTATCCTAATCCACTCTCTATTACTTTTTTCCTACTGCGCCTTTTTCACTAATACAAAATCCAATGAAAGTTTTTCCATCCTACTTTTCCTCCAACCTTTCAACCATCGGCAAGACAGACGATGGAACCGATTAATTGATCCTATCAATTTTCTTCACCTTTTCCTCTTTACATTTTACAGTAATGGGTATTTCCTTCCTTTAATATGAAGAAACCTTTCGTAACTCAATGACTCGATAATGCAAAGCCACCGAGCTTACCACGCATCGTACGAGCACAAACAGAAATTAGAGTGGACGCTCGACACTCCTCAAAAAATTAGAAGCATAAATACAGCGGCTGCCTAACAAACAATCATCTCAAAGTCACAACAACACACTTCTCACTAAGTGTCTCGCTGTACAAATTCAAAGAATATTCACAAAAACAAATCCGAGATCCTTGAGACACGGCAGACGAAGATCAAGTGAAACGCCCTTGAAAGGCATGTGTTACTTGCGGTGCCACGACAACAGCACAAACAAGATAAAAAGCCACAAATCTAAACCATAGACAGTTCTTGATCCGCAAAATAGAAAGCGAAAACACATTATAAATCATCAGTACCACAGAAATTCCATCAAAATTCAAGCAAACAGAAAGATGATGGAGAAGCTCATAATGAATGACAGTAACAAGAGATTCACAGATATTGAAACCCTAATTCAGCGGAAAATAATCAAAGAGCTACGGTGAAGAAGATACCAAATCCGGAAGAAAAGAGACGCTGTATGAGAGAGAATGAAGTGAAACCGTAGTGGGCGCTGGAGTGGCGAGGCAATGGAGTGTGCGCGTTGTAAATAAGCGTGACTACTACAAAACTTATGATTTACGAATTTTAAAATTGAAATCCGGAGCGGTGCTCATATTGTCTTAAAAATTAAGCGTCCTCGTTCGGTGCTCAACCATGTGCTTTTTGGTGCAATACAATCTAAAAAATTTAAAATTTAATATGAATGATTGAGATTTAAAATTTTTAACATATAATTTTTAATAATAAATTTATTTTTAAAAATTTTAATTATAAGATTATTTTTATTTTGAATTTTATATCTATTAAAATAAAATATTAATTAAAATATATAAAAAAATTAAATTTAATCTGAATCATTTAAAATCAATATAATGATTCAAATTAAAATGAGTACTCTATACTTATCATTGTAATGAGCACGGAATATGCTCCCAAAAAATTAAAAGCATTAATATAATTTGTAGTGCCTAAAATCTAACATTATTTTAGTTTTGATTCCAAAATTTGAAACTAATGGTTGTAGTTCCTCAAATTTGATTTTATTTTGATTTTGATCCTAAAATTTGAGACAAATGGTTTTGGTCTCTAAAATTTAACCCTACTTTGGTTTTAGTCCTTATTTCAATGAGTGAAAATCTTAGAACAAACCAAAATAAAGTCAAATTTTACGGACTAAATCCACTTGTTTAAAATTTTAAAGATCAAAATAAAAATAAGGTCAAATTTTCAACACCAAAATCACTTATTTCAAATTTTAGGACTAAAACCAAAATGTGATTACATTTCAAGAGCTAAAAATAATATTAACCCAAATTAAAATTAACAATTAACTGTTTACAGAAGTAATTAACTATTTGTAATTTGTTATAAATTACTCCTCTCATCCTAAATATAAGACCATTATACTAGTGTGTATAAGAGTCTTACATTTAGGGCCAAAAGAGTAAATATAAAGGTTGAAACTACATTTTGCCTTGTTTGGATTAACATTAGTGAAAAAAATAATGTTATAAATAGTTATCTAACATAATTTTTTTTTTATCATATTAGAACATCATATTTAAGATTGGAGGAAGCATTTGAATGTTTGATGGAAGTATGTGCTTTACATAGATTTTAAAGTGAGAATAATTTTTTTGATATTTCAATATTATTTGAACCAAATAATCCGCCTAACCACGCCTTTTGGATTGAAAGAATTATGCTTAAGAAACAAAATGAAGAGCTTTTCACAAAGAAAAGATTTAAAATTTTTGAAATTATTCATAAATTTCGAACAATAGATTTCAGCTTAACATGTCGAAAATGTTTTGGGAAACAAGAAATGGGCCCTCATTGGCCTAAGATCAGCCTACTACATGGTCTAGAAAAGGGCTTGGGAGAATGGATGCAGGAAAGTGAAGCTTCGAAAGTGATTACTCACAAGCTCGTACTCTTATTGGTGATCCTAACTTTAAATTCCTTGTACCAAACAAACAAATTGCTGAATTCCATGCTGATAGGGATTTCATTGAGGAAATAATTAAAAAAAATTATCCAGAGATTGACAGGTGGATATGCTTCATATCATCATAATGCGGGAGTTACATAATCGTTGCTTTTCGTGTACATCAGAAGGTAAAAATATCATTCCCTGACCTGACAAAATTCCTCGGCACTATCTTTTTCTATGTTGGTAGATGCTAATCCACCACTATACATGGGGTGAGCTAGATGCCAAGGATGATGGGTGGGGCCCTCAAAAGGAGAAGTACAACACTCAGACCAGTTACTTGAAGGGTTAGCTTGGCGGACTAGAAGCGTCAAAAATAATACAAGATCATTAAATTCTCCACAAATAACACCACCACATAAAAACTACCTCATGATGTATAGAAGTTTTATGAATGGCTCTCTCCTGGGCTTGCTTTATATGCTCCCTCCGCCTTTCATATAAAACAGATTCTTCCCAAGAACATAACAACATCGATGGATGTTATCCTTTTCAAAATGAAGCTGTTTTTGGGCTTGCTCCACATGTTCCATCCATCTTCCAAACAAGAAGAAACAGCTTCATCAGAAGGATTACCAACATCGACCGGGTGATTCTTTTGCAGGTGGACATCAACGAGTTCCATCCACAAATATAGGAAATGCAACTACTAGTGAAGGACTAAAATTACGCCTTCTTCTCTACAGAAATATTGCAATTGTTAGTCATTTTCACAGAAAACATCAATAGATAGGCTAAATTTAATAAACACCACCCATTTGGATCCATACCACAGATATACAAACAGGAGATCGCATGGGGGTTAATGGTCAAATTCAGAGTGTAATAGCACACCTGCGAGAAAAAAGGAAAATATATAAAAAGAACACTAATGCAGTTTACCAGTTCCGTGCCACTGCCAAGAATTCAATTCTGCACAGCATAATATTGAGGAGCCAGCTCAGTCAACCATAGGTAGTCAATTCTGGTTACATTCCGTATGTACTTGTTATTAGTTTGGACCAGTTCATTAAATATTATGCACTCTGGTTTTTGTTGAAATAATACTGACGAAGGGTGGATCTGCACCACCTGACCACTTGCGAGGGCCCTGTCATGTAGTTAGCCTTACTGTGAGTCTCTTTACAGAAGCAAAAGCAAGAGGGACAAGACAAAATCATAGCAGGTAATAATTTAACCAAAGGTCAAAAGTGATTGAAGAATTTCAAAACTTAAAAGGAACTCCCAAGAATGGAGTTTGACCTTGTCCGCAACAAATGGCAATGGCACTGTGAAGGGCCTGTCTAATAATATTTAAGGCAGCTTGCGATAGATTGAATACCTGTATGTTCCCTCTGGCTGCTTTACAGCCGCATTCAGGAAAAAGGAGGCAGCAAGGCATCTGCGGTATAGAAGCATATCATCTCCACAAGAAGCAACATGCAAACCCATTTGTTCAACATTCCCCAAAATTTGCCTGCAAAAAAACATCATCAACATGTGAGAATGTATCATGCCAGTAACATCGTAGAAAGAATGTCATTGAAGATAAGGCCTAAACACCATATACCCTACTTGTGAATGTCACGAGCATGCTTGAGAGAACGGCTATTGATAAAGTTTTCCTTGCACCACTTCCTCAGAGCCTTTTCACTTTTTGCATTACCCATTCCCATCGATCTCTTTTCTAGGAACTCATGAGATGCTCGATACACGTTAATCAAAGTCAGGTGGTCTCCTTCTGGACTTGAGAAGCATTTCATTGCAGTTCTTGCCTGGTCAAAAGGGTAGAAACACAACAATAAACTTAAATATATCAGCAGGGGTTAAATGTGGAGTAAGGAAATAGTTGAAGACTGAGATCTCTGTAATCAATTTAATGTATTTGAACTACCCACACAACAATTTCAAATATTGCCGTTATGTGGCCAATAGGTTAGCATAGTACATTATTCATTGATTCACTCTGATGTTCACATTCTGTCATCCAAGCATCAGATAAAAAATGATCAGAACAAATTAGGTTGTGTCATGACCAATCTTCTTACCTCTTGCAACTTGTCGCGAGGAGCATAAAATATGGATTCCACAGAAAGCATCGCAACAGTTATCAACATCTCCTCCAAGCAGTTAAACTGACTAGCTAGAATAAGAGCTTTGGAATAAATAGGGTCCAAGGGAAGCCGAGCCATTTGAATTCCAACTGGATCAGATAGTTGACAGTTATCCATTAGAGCACCTAACAAGAATAGCTGCTCCAATGATTTGATGATAGCTGCCCTGTTCAAACATATGAGAGACTTGAGCTTTGTCTAATGGTTCAGGTTGTAAAACTAACTTTTAGAAATAACAATGGCAAATATCAGTGAAGACCCATCAAGAATATTAATTCGGTTCTGCCGCATGATATATGACAGTTGAGAAAGCAGCACAAAGAAACAAAATAAGTTTTTAATATTTTTACTCAACCATTTATATAATCACTAATTCCACTAAGATATATTCACTAACATATCTAGTTAAAGGAACTGATCTGTTATCCAGGGGCGTCTTTCCAAACAGACCCAAGAAAAATGTTATCAAGGTTTGGCAAATAATGCACAAGTAAACTGGAAACAGCACCATAAATGCAAGGGAGAATTAAGAAGGACCACACTGAAGAGATTTATAAACGAATGAACCATTAACAACTCCACAAGCTTAACTACAGTAGCAGTTTTGTAAATTAAAGCATATGTTGATCGTTGATGCTGTAACGACAAAAATGTCTATGTCAATTTACAATATTGTACCCAAACTGATTTAACCTACACTTTACCAAGACGAGGATAAAAAATAAAAACTTACTAAAAAAAATTGCAAGCACAGGACTATCAACAAACATACAAAAGGGAAGCAATCAATCAAAAATTCTCAAGTGATTTTCACCTTGAAGGTTTCTCAATGAAATCAAACCCTAGTATGTCATCAACACCTAAAGCCTTAAGCTGCAAAATGACATTGGAGAGGTTGCATCGCTTGATCTCTGGCTTTGTAGAGTCCTCAAGTTTATCAAATTCACTTTCTGGATAGAGACGAAAACATTTTCCTGGTCCTTCACGCCCTGCACGCCCACTAGTATCAAGAAGTCAGTAAGCAATCTGAGCCATTCAATCAATACTATTTTCCTTATCCATCAATTTAATTGAGCTAAGCTAGCTTACAGTAACTATTGCATAAAACCAATGTAAGTTGGAAAAGAGACCCAAATGAGCCACCGTTCATGATGAATGTGTTCAAAAGTTAATGGAGCATAAAATATTGTGCATTATATGCAAGCAATAATAAAATTGGATGTGTATCAGCTTACCGCCAAGTAAAACAACAAAATATCTTTCAAAACACTAATGTTACATCCACACCCCCAAAGACCATGCCAAACAATACCATGTATTACTTGGAATGCAAAAGTTCACTTCACTAAACTGAATTTAAATTAAACGAAAGAAGCAATCCTGAGTTAAGCACTTAAGTGAGATAAAGTTGTTTGATGTTCATTCATTGAACAAAATAAAATAACACTAGCAGCAACAGTCAAC